GGTTGAGAGGGGGAGGGGAGAGATGCTAAAGTAAGAAAACCCAAATTAGAGTTGATTTTGCATTCGTAATGGCAACGAGGGTCGTCTCAACACAGTAACATAATAGGAAAAGGAAATGCAATAATGGGAAATGAGCAGTGTGACAGTCTGTCGTGATCCCATCCTCAGTATGGCCTTTTTCACTGCTTTTCTTTTCTCTCCATCTTTTCAGGACATGAGTGCTGTGAGGGTAAAGCGTAAATCACACGTAGTCGGTGTGTTCAAAGCGTAAATCATAGTCCATAGACGAGTGCTGTGAGGGTAAAGCGTAAATCATAGTCCACAGACGCTAAAACGCGTTAGTCCGGCGTTCCATTGTGACATAGCTACGTGGCCCGAACGCGCACCTCCCCACAATTACCAAACAACGTGGCTCCAGTACGTGTCCTCTATTCATTTGAATGTGTTGACAGTTGGAGAAATAGTATGTGGATACCCCTTCAAATTAGTGGATTCGGCTATTTCAGCCACACCCGTTATTGACAGATGTATAAAATCGAGCACACAGCCATGCATCGCCATAGACAAACATTGGCAGTAGAATGGCCTGTACTGCAGAGCACAGTGACTTTTAACGTGGCACCGTCATAGGATGCCACCTTTCCAACAAGTCAGTTCGTCAAATTTCTGCCCTGCTAGAGCTGCCCCAGTCAACTGTAAGTGTTGTTATTGTGAAGTGGAAACGTCTAGGAGCAACAACGGCTCAGCCGCGAAGTGGCAGGCCACACAAGCTCACAGAACGGGACCACAGAGTGCTGAAGCGCGTAAAAACCGAGCAACACTCACTACAGAGTTCCAAACTGCCTCTGGAAGCAACATCAGCACAATAACTGTTCGTCGGGAGCTTCATGAAATGGGTTTCCATGGCCGAACAGCCGCACACAAACCTAAGATCACCATGCGCAATGCCAAGCGTCGGCTGGAGTGGTGTAAAGCTCACCGCCATTGAACTCCGGAGCAGTGGAAACGCGTTCTCTGGAGTGATGAATCACGCTTCACTATCTGGCAGACCGACTGACGAATCTGAGTTTGGCGGATGCCAGGAGAACGCTACCTGCCCCAATGCATAGTGCCAACTGTAAAGTTTGGTGGAGGAGGAATAATGGTCTGGGGCAGTTTTTTATGGTTCGGGCTACGGCCTTTAGTTCCAGTGAAGGGAAATCTTAACGCTACAGCATACAATGACATTCAGCATACAATGACATTCTGTGCTTCCAACGTTGTGGCAACAGTTTGACAATGCCCCCGTGCACAAAGCGAGGTCCATACAGAAACGGTTTGTCAAGATCGGTGTGGAAGAACTTGACTGGCCTGCACAGAGCCCTGACCTCAACCCCATCGAACACCTTTGGGATGAATTGGAACACCGACTGCGAGCCAGGCCTAATCACCCAACATCAGTGCCTGACCTCACTAATGCTCTAGTCCCCACAGCAATGTTCCAACATCTAGTGGAAAGCCTTCCCAGAAGAGTGGAGGCTGTTATAGCAGCAAAGGGGGGGACCAACTCCATATTAATGCCCATGATTTTGGAATTAGATGTTGGACAAGCATACTTTTGGCCATGTGGTGTAGCTTGAGCTGCAGTGAGAATTCGAAAAGTATTAATGCCAACGGTCCAATATTCTAGAACACTGTTGTGCATACACGTTTTGAACTATGATAGATGCTTAAGGGTGGGAGAAGAGTCAGCTCTGTACTAACCGTCAGGCATAGATGACACTTAGTCTAAGTGTTACTGGCCAATCAAAATGATCCTGTATCTCTATTAGTCTGATGACATATGTTGGTTGGTGCAGTGAGAGCAGGGTGTGTGAGGACAGAGGAAGACAGGTAACTGGGTCAAGGACTCTTTGACTCACCACTCGACATCACACACGGCGAGGTTGCAATTGACTTCTGCAGCCCAAAGAGGAGAGAAGAGGAGTTTCTAGTGTCGACTCTTGAAACGCTCTACTCAAACCCAAAAGGGTTAGTGGGTTTAGTGTGGAACGTTAGCGTGGAACGTTAGTGTGGAAGGTGCTAACACACACAGACAAGCTCACTTACGAATGCCTGGCCTCAACACTGGGACATCAAACTGATTTCCACTCTAACTCAGCAGAAGGACGAGTTAGTGGCCCCTCATCCTCTCACAGGCCCCTGATCCCCTCTTTTCTCCCACTCACTCCATCTCAGGCCCCTGATCCCCTCTTTTCTCCCACTCACTCCATCTCAGGCCAATGATCCCCTCTTTTCTCCCACTCACTCCATCTCAGGCCAATGATCCCCTCTTTTCTCCCACTCACTCCATCTCAGGCCAATGATCCCCTCTTTTCTCCCACTCACGCCATCTCAGGCCAATGATCCCCTCTTTTCTCCCACTCACTCCATCTCAGGCCAATGATCCCCTCTTTTCTCCCACTCACTCCATCTCAGGCCAATGATCCCCTCTTTTCTCCCACTCACTCCATCACAGCCAGGCCCCAGCAGATCTCCTTGTGGATATCATATATGGACCCTGGGGTTCTGGTGCATGTCACTTCTGAACACTAATAACAATGAGGAGAGTTTCAACCTGAACTAGAGAACAGTTAAAGTTGCATTACCACCACAATCAGATGACTGTGTGTGTGTGTGTGTATGCACGTGTGTGTGTGCATGCATGTGTGTGTAGTCAACGCAACAAGGTCAATTACATCAACCCAGGGAGGCACAGACGTTTTACATTTACATTTACATTTTAGTCATTTAGCAGACGCTCTTATCCAGAGCGACTTACAGTTAGTGAATACATTTATTTTTTTATACTGGCCCCCCGTGGGAATCGAACCCACAACCCTGGCGTTGCAAACGCCATGCTCTATCAACTGAGCTACATCCCTGCCGGCCATTCCCTCCCCTACCCTGGACAACGCTGGGCCAATTGTGCGCCGCCCATGAGTCTCCCGGTCGCGGCCGGCTGCGACAGAGCCTGGATTTGAACCAGGATCTCTAGTGGCACAGTGCCTTAGACCACTGCCTTAGACCACTGCGCCACTCACTATAAAAAGACTGACGCAATAACAGCAATGATAATAATCTCATCCAAATAAACAATTAATTTCCCCCACATTCCAAAATCACAATTTCTTTGTTTAGGCCTAACTGTTGACTGGATGAATCCCATGATTCACTAGGATTGAGTTAAACTGAACATGGACCCCAGTAAAACACTCCAGGGTCGCTTTCCTCAATAAAGGCCTTAGCAAGTTAGAGGGAGAAAGGAAGTCATGTGTTAGTTGAAGAGGAGAGAAGCCATTTTGTCCCCTGTAAGGCATCAGTGTGACTGAAGGGAGATATGGGTCCTGTGGTGCTGGTAGACTGAATGTTACACTGGGGGATGTCATGAGGATGTATGATTCAGCATCGTGAAGGAAGCCTAATTATCATCTCAATTAGTGTGGAGGTGGGCGAGGGTGTGTGTGTGTGTGTGTGTGTGTGTACATGCAAATGTAATGCATGCGTGTGTGACTGTGGATCTTTGTAGGTGTGAGAGTGATTCAGAAGAAAGTGCTCTGAGAGACCCAGGAGGGTTTCTACGGCTCTGTTGTTAAATCCTCCAGCAGCAGGAGCGATAGGAGACCGAGACGAGGGGAAGCTTTCTAATCAACCCTGTGTCTACAGTGTTCTAAACAGCAAAAGGCCTGTGAATTAAGACGTAGAGAGATGGTGATTTAAAGGGAGAAAGGTAACACTTCTAAACCAAGAACACAACCAGATGCACTTAGTGCTTTGTATAGTAGATTTCCCGTGTTTTATTTACACTGTTCTAAAGCACTCCAAGGCAACAATGGAGAGCTCCACCCATAGAAATAGAATTAGAATACTAAATGAATAGGATCTCTATGGTTCCACCCCTCTGCTCGCTACTGTAACTCTTCCCCACAATGTCGTTGGAAATGAGAATGTGTCCTCCAACAATGTAGCTGGTAAATACAATAAATTAATCAGTACTGGACACATTCACAGTGGTTGATTTATGAGGGCCTTTATGGCAATGCTGAAGACTGATGTGAAGAAGGGGGATCATGTATAGCTCTCTACACAGTGTTTCTCTACCAGAATAATTTACAGCAATTAGTCTCCACTGTAATGCAAATAGTGTGCGTGTGTGTGTAATCCTCTGGGAGAGAGATAGGGTGTGTACACTTCAGATTATGTATGACATTATTAAGAAGTTGCCACTCGCCATACCCTGGGTCTACAAACTCATTATAGATGTTATTGGAAATGTAACTAAGGAGTTGGGGGGGGGGGGGGGGTCACATTATCTGACAGAGAGAGCATAGAGGTAGTGGGAGCACTGGTTCAACAGTAGTGGGAGAAGAGTAGTGGATGAGGAGGGGGGTGGGAGAAGAGAAGGGGGGTGAGGGGAGAAAGGAGAGTGGATGAGGAGGGGGGTGGGAGAAGAGAAGGGGGGTGAGGGGAGAAAGGAGAGTGGATGAGGAGGGGGGTGGGAGAAGAGAAGGGGGTGAGAGGAGAAAGGAGAGTGGATGAGGAGGGGGGTGGGAGAAGAGAAGGGGGGTGAGGGGAGAAAGGAAAGTGGATGAGGAGGGGGGTGGGAGAAGAGGAGAGGGTGAGGGGAGAAAGGAGAGTGGATGAGGAGGGGAGTGTGAGAAGAGAAGGGGGGTGAGGGGAGAAAGGAGAGTGGATGAGGAGGGGGGTGGGAGAAGAGGAGGGGGTGGGGGGAGAAAGGAGAGTGGATGAGGAGGGGGGTGGGAGAAGAGGAGGGGGGGTGAGGAGAGAAAGGAGAGTGGATGAGAGGGGGAGTGGGAGAAGAGGAGAGGGGTGAGGGGAGAAAGGAGAGTGGATGAGGAGGGTCTGTCTGTGTGTGTGTGTGTGTGTGTGTGTGTTGCTATAGTAACAATACAGGGGGTGATGAGTGAGTGGTATAAAGTGGTAATACCTAGGAGACACCGATACCTAGGAGACACCGATACCTAGGAGACACCGTTACCTAGGAGACACCGATACCTAGGAGACACCGATACCTAGGAGACACCGATACCTAGGAGCTGTCAAGGGAGACTACCTAGAATCAGGATACCTGAAAATAATTTGCAATGGTAAAAGTATTTTTGTTATGACAGATCGTGTGTGTGTGTGTGTTTGTGCGTGCGTGTGCGTGTGTGTACATGTGTACTTGCGAGCATGTGTGTGTGTATGCGTGTGTGCATGAGTCTACCTGAGAAAGCATTGCTATAGTAGCGGGACAGGGTCTGCATGATGTCTTTGGAGTGCTGTGTCCAGGGGGCTATCTTTCGGTAGGTTTTCACCCTGTGGACCAGCTGGGAGCCCCCGTACTGCAGAGACAGGGTGTCCCCATGGTCTTCATACAGCTCCTCAAACAGCCTGCATGGGGGGCAAAGGTCACACAGGGGTCACCACAGGGTTAGAGATGTCAACAACAAAGTTATATTTCATGTACTGAATTTTTTAAGTTCTTATGTCATCTTTTAGTAATGTTTAAGTGAGTCTCAGAGACGAGAGTAGAGTAGAGTTTTACCTAACACAGTCCGTGTCGAACTGTAGCTTGGGCTTGTCAATCATGCCCAGAGCATAGAGCTGATAGGCCAGCGCACACTTCCCCACCATGAACTGGGCGGTGTTAGTACGGTCCAGACAGTCCACACAGTTCGTCCTCAACACACCCGTCTGAAGATAGCAGAGGAGAGCTCAACAACAACAAAACATTTAAATGTGGGCGCTGATAAAAGATGGGCATCATCTCTGCCTTGAGGTTTCCATGTCAACAGCCACTGCCTGCTCAGGTGTGTCTGGTGTGTAATATACCGTACCTGGACACGCCCACTTGAGGTGAGACTTCCACCAAGATCTCCCCATCTGAGGAAAGAGAAAACTCCTTGAATCAATCAAACACTTAGTATGCTTGTTGTACTTTTATACTCCTGCAATGCAAATTAATTGTCTAGATATGGCACAACTCAAAGTTTCTGAATCTGAACACATTTAGGACAGATGCATCGAGGAGTAATTCTCCAATGCCACAATGGCCTAAAGCACTGTATGATGACAACCAGAGGAACATAGGCTCCACCCATAGCATTTCTTTCCTCTCCAAGATTTCCATCCTGTCTTCTTTGTTTATCAATTTAGGTCACTCTAGGCTTGCTTCATTGCCAGGAGTAGCTAGCCCCTGGCTTGTATGCAAAGCATGATATGCTAATGTTTATTGTATCCAACGCTTGATGGATCTGAACTCAAGATGCAATCTAATCACAAGATACACCAGCCACCATAGAGACACAGCAGCAAGACCTAGCCTGATAACAGATTAGGTAACCAGTCATGCTGACATCTCATACAGGAGACCAAGTTACAGGCAGGGCAGAGCCAACCAAGGCTGGCTGAGCAACCAGTAATATCCTGCTTCTTTCGCAGCAGAGCCCAAAATATATTTAATTTCATTTTCTTTCATTCATTCTTTCTTTCAAATCCCTTTTCTTCTAAAAAAAACTATTGTGGTTGTGTAAGAAGGTTAGCCTCCAGACTAGCAGCGAGCCCCACAGTAGCCTCTGTACGAGACACCCCGGGACTAGTCAGAATGTCAGATGTCTGGAAGTAAGGAAGAAATAATACATTAAATAATACAGTAAACGGAGGAGGACTTTTCATTTGTGACACGTCTGCTCTGGAGCCAAAACTAGAGTGGACTCAAGTCAACAACCCCGCCAGAGACGAGAGAGTGGGCGGCTATGTGTGTGTGTGTGTGTGTGCGCGCATGCATATATGTGTGTGTTACTGAAGCATGAGCACATGTATAAAAGCAAGGGAGTGGGAGGGTGTTTGATAATGCAACATACGGCTAATAAATACGCCATTAGAAGAATGGCTAGCAGATTAGGTAACCAGATGGAAATGTCAATGCTTGTGATTAAGATATGCAGGGATACCCTGGCCATGGCTATTCAGCAAGACCAACTCCAATCTAACAGACCCATCTATTCCCATTACTGGACAATAATTCATATCGGAAGGGAAAAAAACTAAATGTATTTGCTATTAATGCGTGATTGTAAAATACTGTATGATTAGCTATTAGACTGAACTTTATAACGGCCCTCAGAGGGACTTTGTCTAACACATTAAAACAAACGTAGCAATAATCACAATTGAAACCAATTATGACAATTTAACACCAACCCCTCTAAAGAATCTAGAGGGAGGGGTGACCATGTGAGTGTAAGGTGAGGTAGGCATAGAGGTATAGGTTGGGGTGTAAAGTGCGGGAGTTTTGCCTGAGGGTGTGTACCTCTTGTCTGGCCTGAGGGTGTGTACCTCTTGTCTGGCCTGAGGGTGTGTACCTCTTGTCTGGCCTGAGGGTGTGTACCTCTTGTCTGACCTGAGGGTGTGTGTGTGTGTGTGTGTGTGTGTGTGTGTACCTCTCGTCTGGCCTGAGGGTGTGTGTGTGTGTGTGTGTGTGTGTGTGTGTGTGTGTGTGTGTGTGTGTGTGTGTGTACCTCTCGTCTGGCCTGAGGGTGTGGCAGAAGAAGTCAGAGCGGTTGATGAAGAAGCCGGTCCTCTTGACCACGTTCTCCGCTATCATACTAAGACGGTCCAGCACGTTATACAGCTTACTGAGAGAGAGAGGGAGGGAGAGAGATTAGATAATTACTTGAGAAAAATAATTAACCAAAAAACGGCGCAAACTGGAATGTTATTTGGCCCTAAACAGAGAGTACATAGTGGCAGAATACCTGACCACAGTGACTGACCCCAAATTAAGGAAAGCATTGATTATGTACAGACTCAGTGAACATAGCCTTGCTATTGAGAAAGGTCGCCGTAGGCAGACTTGGCTGAGCTCCACTTCCTGACCTCATGCCAAATGTATGACCATATTAGAGACGCATATTACCCTCAGATTACACAGACCCACAAAGAATTTGAAAACAAATCCAAATTTGATAAACTCCCGTATCTATTAGGTGAAATACCACAGTGTGCCATCACAACAGCAAGATTTGTGACCTGTTGCCACAAGAGCAACCAGTGTAAATAAAACCCATATTTATGTTTATTTTTTGTACTTCAGCTACATTGAAATGTCTCTATTCTTTTGAAACTTTTGTGAGTGTAATGTTTACTGTAATTTCTGATTGTTTATTTCACTTTTGTTTATCATCTATTTCACTTGCTTTGGCAAACATATGTTCCCATGCCAATAAAGCCCTTTGAATTGAATGAGAGGGAGAGAGGGAGACAGAGTGAGCGGCAGACAGAGAGAGAGCAGACAGAGAGAGAGCGAGAGTGGAGTGCAGAAAAAGTTGCAGAATGAGAAAATGTGAATGAGTGTTGGACAACTTAAAAAGGTCTTTGGAAAAAAAGAAAACATTGAACTTGAACATTTCTTTTAGGGACAGCAACAATAACTCCTCTACTGCTAAAGTTAGGTCCATTGTTGGTGAGCAAAGGTAGCTTTGGGTTCATGGGAGTACCATGGCAGTGAAAGTGAATAAGGGAAAAGATGTGATCTTCAGAGTGTTTCCATAGCTGCAGTGATGGATATGGATAACTCCAGGGCTTTGTGGTTAATGTACTGTTGCCCATGAAATATATAGCCCTTCTTGGGCCACGTGGGACAATGCGCTGCTGTATATGTACTAGCTGTATGTACTGTATAGAACCATGTATCCCTGCGGTTCCTAAACTAGGGGGGCAGATATGAAAATGGGGATGCGTGAGAATTTCCCAATTTCTTTATAAATAAATGCTAAAAATATATATATTATAATATCGCAAAAGTATTGTAATGTGGTTAAGCTTAAAAACCTTGACCGTTGCACTTTAATCATTCCCAAGGTGAATGGCTAGACTCGCTACATTGTGAAACCACACACTATTGCAGAGACTTTGATATTACTGGCTGCAATTGATATGGTGAAAACAATGTGGGGAGGCAGAGGCACAGAAACTCACATTAATACCTTTGTCAGATAACACTGTTATAGAATTTATGCTCTGACTGAACGACTCAAATTCCCCAGCGTATGCTCTCCAAATGGACATTAGCTGTGAGGGCTGAGATGACCATGCATTGACTTTTGTTCGCTATACATGTTGGGGATGCTATTCACGAGGACATATTGTTCTGTCTCACGATTCCCGAGCATGAAACAGCATAGGGGATGTTCAGTGTGCTGCGTAGCTATATTGACGAAAAACAAATTCCATTTGGGATTGAATGGTGGGCTTTTGCACAGATGGGACTCCATCTATGGCGGAAGGGCAGCTGCCTCTACACTCTAGTTATGAATGCGTCTCCCTCTGCAATATGGACATGATACACAGAGCAACTGGTGGCAAAAGAGCTGAGCATAGAACTCAGAGATACACTGTAGCAGGTAACTTCGATTGTAAACTATATCAAAACACATCCACTGCGCACACGCCTGTTCGCAAAACTGTGGAGATATGGGATCAGAGCATGACAAAGTTCTATTTCCCACCGAGGCTTGGTGTTTATCGAGGGGGAGTGCTGGAAAGAGTTTTCGCATTGAGAGAGGAACTGTTGTCATTCACGCTTGGAAGGGCACTTTGGGACATACTTCCCAATCCGTTTGACTGTGATCCTGGCTCAGTTGACATGCTGGTAAGTGAAATCGAACAGCTGATCGAGCGGTCATGTGACCAAATGCTGCAGACAACTCATTCACGGGTCACTACGGAGGAGTTTTGGTTCGTGACTCAAAGGGAATACCCTGCTTTCTCCCTCTGAGCATTAATGCCACGTTCAAAACAACTGGTAACTTAGAACTGGGACCGCAGACATCTCTGACTTCCGACTTCAGAGCATTCAAGACAACTGGGAACTCGGAATGAAACAAGCTCCGACTGGGAAAACTCGACTTTCTAGAGCTCAGACTTTCCGACCTGAAGATCACTGACGTCATGATTTGACCTCGTATTTTTCTGAGATCCCAGTTGTCTTGAAAGCACCATAAAACTCATGGTAAGCTACCCTTCGCCAGCTCATATCTGTGTGAAGCTGGATCCAGTGCTCTTGCCTGCATTAAAACCAAATGACTTTGAGAAGCTCAGATGCAACATGCATCAAACACACCCATCTCATTAGTGGTGGTGAGATAAGAGATTATGTCAGACTAATTTGCAATTGACTGTCATAGCCCCACATTAAACATATGTGATGATGAGTTGAGAAGACAATCAGAAATACTGTTAGAATGTTTTTCAATTGACTGCCATAGACCCAAATAAAAAAGTAAACATTAGCTGTTAATTACAACCCAAAAAAATCACATGGGTGGGGTTGCGAGAATTTTCAGATATCAAAATGGGGTCATGGGCAAAAAAAGTTTGGGAACCCCTGATGTAGCCACAGTTCTCTACATTAAATGGTCTGAGGTGTTAACTTAGGTTGCTGGGACAATACTTTGTACCTCTGGCACTTACAGAACACGATGCTGGTGTAGGGTTAAGCTAAAACAGGCTGTTTGAGTAGGATGAAGTCACACCCAAACACTGATCATAGGCGTTTCCCCATTAATGGTTAAGAATAGGGTTTGGGTGAGGCTTAGCTGATCCTAGATCTGTACCTCTTGGTGTATCGGGCCATGTCCCAGGCGATGTAATCGATGCAGTGTTCTGGAGGGAGGAACTGGTTGAGGTTGATGACGGCTGGGAAGAGCTCCTCACTGAGGATCTTCTCATGCTTTCGCTTCTCTCGTTTCTACACACAGACACGGAGACACACATCAGCGTTATTCATTTAGTCTGAAGGAAAGGTCTCTGATTTATCATGAAAGGCATGAAAGTCTATGATAATTTCATAATTTTTGTCTTGGGCAAAATTGCTCCCGTA